CCCCCCTAATCAATTCTATTTCTAAGAAATCATTATTTGTAGAAAACCTGAGGTTTTTTCCCCCCCTCCCCCTTCTGAACTTGGATGCATTTGAAGTCAACATTTTGTAAAGGAGAAACTCAAGGTCTGGGCAAAGAAATGTCTTCGGGGTTGAACGCCGAGAGCGCCCTTGGGTAGGCACCCCGGCTCACTCGGGGATCTCCTGGGTGTCCTGACCTCGCCGTTTGCCGGCTCGGCCCACGTAGGAAAGATACGCTCTCCAGGGTTCTTTGTTTATTGCATTTTGGTTTTGGTTGACTCGGGACCTTAGAGGGAAAACAAACCGCAGCAGCTAATCACATTTTCAAGTCTCTCGCTGCTGATAAAGCATCTCAGGAACACTAGCGGCATAAACAAGCCTTGGGCGAGATCTGAATTGTTCTCCTGAAATTTTTACAATACACGTGTTAGGTGCTTTCTGTCCGCAGTCTCTGGTCTCCCCATTCTAGGGGGTCTCTAGGGGCAGGGAGACAGCTGGGGGTCCTGGGCAGGGGAGCGCTTGCAAGGATGGGCTCGGGCTGGTGGAAATGCCCCCTGTAGTATCCCAAGCTGTGCCCCAGAAAATGGGGCATGGAAAGGGAGTCCCAGCTGTTGTAGAATGCAGTTTTGAAGGCTGCTGGGGGGGGTCCCCAATGTCTCCATAGCCCTCCCCTACCCACATCCTTGCCCTGGCAGCCCCCCGCCGAGCCCCTCCCTGTCCGATCGGGCAGAACCAAGGCCTTGTGGTCCAGGCATCACGCGGGAGCTAGCTCAGCCCTCTGCTGGCTCTTGCGTGGCGTTTCTGTGAAAGTTTCTTCTTGGTTGTGAGTCTCTGGAAAACGGAAGCAGGTGCTCCTGAGGATCTGTATGGAGCTTCTCTTTTCAAGGTGCATGTCAAGGGACCCGAGCCCTCCTGCATTCACCTCGCCTCCCGGGATGCTTGTTCTCTGGGATTTGCTGGGGGCACATGGGCGTCTGAAACCTGAGGTTTCTGGCCTGAAACCCCTCCAGTCCGACCATTTAGATCCTTGTAGGTGAATCTGATTTAGCACCGGGTACAAACAATTCCGGGGAGGTCATCTCTGTCTTTTTTTGTGTGTGTGTTTGGCACGCGTTGGTTCTGAAACATAGCGTGTGTTTTAGAGAGAAATGGGCATATTCCGCACAAAACCTTTAGGTCTTAAACTCTCATTGGTCGGGGTAGGATGTAGTCCCTCCATTTCCCCCTCCCACCCTCGCACCTGAACGCTGAAGGCCCCTGTGCTGGATTGAGATCGAGGCGGGAAAACCGTTCAGAGACCACAGGCGTGGATGAAAAATCACCGTGGAGAATCTACACCTGTTTTTTTTACCAAATTGGCACGGAATAGGCTCTGGAGCTCATTTTACAGTGCGATGCACTCGAGAGATGTCTTTATTATTTTTAAAAAATGTTTTTTTATTGATTTTAGAGGGAGAGGGAGAGAAACATCACTCGGTTGTCTCCTGTGTGCATCGCAACGGGGGACCGAACCCTCAACCTGGGCATGTGCCCTGACTGGGAATCAAACCGGCGACCTTTTGGTGCACAGGACGGTGCCCAACCAACTGAGCCACACCGGCTGGCAGAGACATCTTCATTTTTAATGAAAGAGCCTACACTGCATTAGGGGATCACTTCAGGGTAGCACCTTGTTTGAAATTCTGATAGAAATCCCAGATGTTAGGTCCGAGTGACTCTTGCTTTTTAATACGGAAACTTGACTCCCATTTGGGGATATTCTTAACCCCGAAGAGTTTGGGTTTTATTTTTTTCTCCATTCCATGGAAGCTTGTAGGGTATTTGGCCTCCCCGACCCCCTCCTGCCACCCTCCCATGTCCTCCTTTTTCCTCTTTTGTACGTGAAAAAATGTATTTTTGTATCATATCTCATACCTTGAAGAGAACCGTTTTTTTATATCTTCAGGGCTGGGGACTATATTAGTGCAAAGCTTCATTCAGTGTGATATAGAAACATCCTGGTGAGAACTACTGTGGATCTGTTATAAGTCAGACTCCGTTTTTTAAAAATATCTCAATCAGTGTTAATTTCCCAATACTTCAGTATCGCAATAAATACCAAGACCGGAAAACAGTCCAGAAAGGGACCGCGATCTCTCAGTTGCTGGATTTGTGTGGATGTCGTGGGACTGGTGTCTAGAATGATCTCTTACTTCATACGTTAGAAAAGACACTTTTGGGGTACGAAGCTTTCCCTAAGTATATTTCCTGATACCAGTCAGCGTTACCTGCCTGTTACCTGCCTCCTGGGCTTTTCTTGCCTAATGTCTCAGTGATACCGCAGAGCATTTCCTGGAACAAAGCTGCAGCAACAAAATTTCATCAAAGCTTGCCCTGTGAGTTGTGCTGGGTCTTTCTTTTTTTTTAAAAAAAAGAAATTAAAAAATGTTTTTATTGATTTTATAGAGAGAGAGAGAAACATCAGTCGGCTGCCTCCTGCACACCCCCTACTGGGGATCGAGCCTGCAACCTGGGCATGTGCCCTGACTGGGAATCCAACTGGTGACCTTTTGGTTGCGTGGGACTATGCCCAACCAACTGCCTCGCACCGGCCAGGGCCTGTGCCTGGGTCTTAATTTATAAAGGTGACTGCATGGTGATAAATAGCTGTTAATACCATCGAAAGAAGGTTTTTAATACGTCTGCAGGTGAGAGGCACAAAGCACGCCACTCAGGGTCACACGGAGCCTGTCACACGCAGGGTGAGCAGAGGCAGAGGGGTGAACTGGGAACTGTGCTGACAGCCCCTGTTGGGTACACATGCAGGGCAGGGGCCGTGGCTGGGAGCCTCACGACTTCTGCACGCCCATGAGGGCTGGCTTGTGGGGACCAGGGAGACCACTTTGGCTGTTTGTGATTCTGCGGCCCTGTGGAGAAATTAGGAGTAACGTATAACATGCCCAATAGCCAGCGCAGACTCTAAAAATCCTGCATTGCTTCATTTCTACGTTTCTTGCTGCTTAAGACACTTTGGATGAATGACGTCTGCCTTCCGGGTCGAGGCCTGGTACCTTCTCCCAGCTGGGTGTTCAGTTGGCTGACTTACCCCAAACCCCAGCTCTCTGCCACCCAGCTAGCTCGTGTTAAAAGGAATTCCTGAGACCCTAAGGTGTCACCCCTGCCCCCCCCCGTTTTTAAATAATAGATCACCGTTCTGCAAAGTTTTCATTTTTGGCCATTTGAGTTGGTGGACTTTTGCGCCTCACTTGTGAATAATCGAATTATATATATATATATTTTGCAGGATCTAATGCAGTGCCCTTAAAATTAGTGTTAGACAGCCATCGATGTACAGTATCTGGGGTAAACAGACTTTGGTCAGCATGCTGACTTCCGCTCTCCGCTCTTCAATGATTCCTTGACTTGCAGTAGCAGATACGCTGGGACCAGTTTTTCCCTCGTGGTGGCATCCGAAGCTCACTGTCCATTGCATCTGAAAACCTGTGGCAGCTAGTGGCATCAGTGACCATATGTTCCAGTG